GGAGATGGGTGGGGACAAGTCTATTAAATAAATGAATAAAATAAAATTAATTAATTAATTTGTATTAATTATTTTTTGTGTGTATTCTTTAAAATGGTTATAGACATGTTGTGAGTTTTTACTGGATTGTTGTCAAACAAGTCATCTCTCCTTCTACCCCCATTCCCCCTATGCTTTTATTATTGTAATTCAAAATTCTTGAATTCTTGAATCTACAAGGATTACAAACGACACTCAGATTACGGATATCAAGGAAAAATAATCAGCAGTTAGTCATGCTTTTTTTATAGCTATATAAAAAAGCTATATATGCTTTTCTTAAAATATATGTTGGCAGTCGTTAACTATATTTCTAAATGAGTAAAGTATCACTGCATAGACAGGAATCAGATGAAATTGCATAGAAAAATGTATAGCACATCAATTTCAAGGTGTTTATTCTTTAATATCTGAAATGATACTCTAAAAATTCACTGAAGACTATAATTATTGATTACTGAAATTACTAATGGTAATACGTTAACTGTTCAGAAATAAGCTAATAGTATTTTGGTAGTCATTTTCTGCTTTAACACTGTAAAGGGTTTAGTTAAATGCTACAAGTCTGATTGTCTCAAATCTATTGGACAGCTTTAATTTAACATATTTCTTCACATAATGATTATTTGCAGCAGTGCCTTCTTCCTCAAAAATTACTCAGCTTCCTTTACTTTTCTTAGATACATTACCTGCTTTTGAATGCAGATGGTGGTGCTCCATAAATTTAGGAGACTTCACCTTCATTTATGGAGAGTCTAACTATATATTTTTTCTAGATTAAAAATTGGAAGACTGCCCAGGATATTGCTGCAATAAAGCATTATACCAGGATTTTGTACTATAAATAGTACTATCAGAACAAGTAATTACTCATCAAAGCAAATGAAGTATTATATCTAATGGCAAAAACTTATGGTATGGATGCACAAATTTGTCAGTTCCATTCCTGAATTGACAGATTTGCATATGTCTAAGCTTGGGAAATGTTGGTGCTACTTTTCATCTTAGAAAATTCTTTGCTTCTAAGCAAGGAGATGAAGTGGTCAAGGAGTTATTTTTTTAGTAAAAGAAACATATATTTCAATTAACTCTTGAGGTTTCTTTTTATCTTTGGTTTAAGTAGTATCTGGCTGGCCAGTAATTAGTGTTGACACTGACTTTCAGAAGTACAGCATTATAAATGCATGTATGCCAGAACTTTATATGCAGCTTTATACTAGGGATTCACATTTCATGATGCATCTCCTGAAATAGCACGTTTAATATGAAGGCCTTAATGTATTTTTACAGACAATAGTCAATCAGGAAAGTGGTAACAATGTGATTTGCAGTTTGTAGTTCTTTTGAGGGGGGAAGGGGGTGCTTGTACACCCGATTTTGGTATTGAGATTTAGACATTTTTCCTTCCACCTCTTATCATAGGATGATCTGAAGCCTTCTGCATTCCCAGAAGCTTCTGCTTGACAATGCTCTTACCATCTACTACCATCCGGATATAATATATAGAACATTTGGGCTTAATATTTCCTTAGTACTTGATGTTTAGTTTTTTCTAAAAGCCTGATGAAAATCTCTTTTAAACACAGAGTTCAGTCTAAAATAGACTGAGACAAACTATACATCCCAAACAAAAATTCCATTTCATTCAAACACAAATCTCAGAACCAATTTAAAATGGGTTTGTTTTTTTTTACCATAAATGCAGGCACAGCAATTCTTTGATAAATCAGTCATGCTCTATATCGAAGTAGCTTTGCATCTGTTTAAATTTGGGTTCAAAGGTCTTCAGACTGAATGAATGAATTCATTAATTTCTCCTTCACTTTTCTAGCCTTTCTGAAATTATGTGTGGAAAATCAGTTGGTGTTGTAGAAAATTACTGTTCCACAGTGGCGACATTTTGTTCAGACTATAGGACAATGGCTTTTTAAACATGTACTGCTTAGCTTACCATAAATCAGATGGGCATACATGTTTAACTGCAGCAATTCAAAAGAATGGGGCTGGAATGTCAAGAGCACATCACTCTGTTAAATCTAGAATTATTGTAGAATGTCTGCAAGTCTTTCATCCGCTATCTCCTTCTGTCTTTCTAGAGAGCAAAGAAGAGTCTGTTGCTAACCATTCCAATCATGAATCCAGAATTCTCATCACAGAACAAATACCACCCCCAGAACATAACACTTTTACTATGGCTCCTGCTAGAAAAGTAAGTAGATATTGACTTAAAGTAAAGAGAAGTTTAATTTAAAGTTATAATCCTTTAAATAATGACTTATCAGGAAATTCTATTATTAAGTGGAACTTACTGTGTGTAAACATTCAAAGGATGAAGCTATGTTCTATTTTGAAAAAGCATAATTGTTAAGAATGTGTTGCAGTCCTGCAGTGAATAAACTTCAACTACTGACTTTGAGCTGATCAACATTTTTGATGGTATTTGTTTGGTTTGGAACTGAGACAGTTGTTTCCTATCCTTTTACAGTTTAATCAGCAACACAAAGCTAAAAAGATAGTGTAGTAAATGTTATGCTTATTTTATGTACACTTAATCTTTATACAGAAATACCAGTTTTTTGCAATTCATAGCCTATTTGGCCCACTGATTGCATTTCTTTTCCTCAAAAGTGATTGGTGTATACAAGCCTGAATACCCCATCCCCACCTGCAGACATACACAAACACACAGAGAGCTATTTTGCTAACTGAGGAATTCTCTTTACTGTGGCAGAAGATTCTTAGATGTTAAGATTTGAGTACATAGATAATTATATTAGAGGAAAGTTAGTTTACTGCATGTCCTTGCTCATCCTCACACAATAAACTGAATCCAGATTTAGTCATACTTAGTGAATCTTGTTATGAACATTTTTTATTTCATTGATTTCATTACACCTCCTCTAAGTATGGCAAAACCTGGATTTGACCCACCATTTGTGGAGCCTGAGTTTCCTTTAAAAAAAGAAAGTTTTCATAGCAGTTTTCATCGTTTTGGAAAAGATTTAAAGCAGGGCCATGAATGTTGAAAGGGCACACTGGTTGCAGTTGGATAATGGATAGGTTTTGAATCTGAGCTATGGAGACCAAGTTTAGATCCTTGCTCAGCCATAAAAGTTATTAAATGACATTGGGCCAGTCACTGGCTTGACTTAGTTTACTCCATAGAATAAGTTAACAAACAATAATTCCATACATCTTACTCTGAGCTTCCTGAGAAATGACAGAATGCACACATTTTATAATTGATTTGTGGAGGACTGGCAGGTGGTAAAAAGAATGAGTTTATTGCACTATTCAGATATTGTAAAATCTGGTTTTACATACTAAATGGTTTTAAGTTCAGTATTTCTTCATCTGTTGACCCTGAAGAAATCAAACTCTCTAAACATGTTTTTTTTTCTTAATATAAATGAAGGTATCTTCATTATTCCTACTGAAGAATTTTATACAATAGTAAAAACAATACAAATTTAAGAAAAAAAGAATAAAGAAAAGCGGTGAATAGATGAAGAAAAGAAAAGAAAAAAAGTATAAAGAAGCGGTTTCTGATCTTCTTTATGTCCTCCCTCTTTAAAGTTACATCATGATCCCTTCTTTCCATATTTTATCCTTTCTAATCATCAAATCCATGAATCACCAATTCATTTTTTTCCATTTTCAGCAAAAAGTTCATAAAGAGTTTTCAATCACTAATAAATGTACTTGTCTAAGTTTCTAGTGACCAAAGTATATCCCCAGTCAGATTGGGTGAACTGACCTCCCCCTCCCCCAAATTTAAACTATTTGTAAGATGTTTTTAACATTGACTGTTTTCCTTGTGACTTTTTTTTGTTATAAATTGTCAGGAGCTTAGGTGATCACTGGTATAAAAAAATAGTGTTATATGCATAATGTGTACCAATATGTATGAACATTTTGCTGCCTGTCCTGCATACTGAATTCTAAGAGAGATTATTGGAGATCTCTGTTGTTTTTGGTTGTTTTTATATTATGTACAACTGAAAGCATTGTAATGAAGATATAGTTTCTGCAAATCTTCATATTGATAATCCTCTGAATTGTAACCATTGTAGAGTTGGCACTACAGCATATACTATAGAGGATGGAGTATATACTACATCCTGATGGAGCAATGTGTACTAAGCTGCTCCTGTAGAACAGCTCAGATGTAGAATTGAGCATGTTAATATTTAAGCTTTTTCTTTTTTGGTGAGACAGAAAGCATAGTTGGGAAAAAAATAGTGTTAATTCCCTGGTGCCAAAAGTGAGCTATTTAGTGCAATATAAGTACATTTCATTAAATAGGATGAACAGGTTTGAATGTATGGTATTGAACCATTTGTATGAATGTAGGGTTTTAGTTAAGAATGTTCCTCCATCATGGGAAATTATTAACTATTAGATGAAGAAAGAGGAGCTATGTTTTCATATTATTGCTTTTAGGAAGCTATATAGGGATAGTGCCTGGAATACAGTGAGAAATTTGCATAACTTTGCAGTGGGCTGTCTTAAAACATGTAGGAGCAACTATCATTTGCCCTTTAGATATTTGCCAAATATACTCAACTGCCATAAACAGGAGATGACACCTCTGTGAGTCAGTCATATGGAAGAAGGCTTTGGAAGCTATTAACGAGTGGGTGTCCATCTGAAAATGAAAGGTTTGATCACTGTGAAGAACTGAGTAATTAAAACACCTCACTCCCCTATATCAATTAGTAATTAATGAAAAGTCCAGTTGTAGCTAAACAGGGAGATACTGTAGTTTTAGTTAGGATACAGAACAAAAAGACTGCAGGCATCATTTTCAAAACATCCTATGACTGTACTCTCTGCAGTTGCTGAGAATTATGCATGAGCTGGCCAGTGCTCCCCCCCCTCTGATCAACAGGGGAATGGAAAAATCAGCATCCCACCAGTCCTCTGCCTCCAATTTTTGTCCTTATGTTATGCTTCATTTGTTTAGCAAGATGAGATTATTTTTCTTTCTTTTTTAAAAAGCTACTCACTGTGGTGGGAGCTGCAAAGCTGCTGCTCTGTGAATTTGGTGTGAGGACATTTTGGTACCATTCCTGTATGGAGCAAAATCAAGATTTATTTATACAGAGGTGGCATGATTTGTTCCAAGTCTGTTTCAAGTTAGATAAATGTTCTTTAAAATATCATTGATAATCAAAAGATAAACATTCTGAGTTTGAAGTTTGAATTTATATTGTTATTGCCACCTCCTGTAGAGGTGGTATGGATTCTTTATCCGGTAGCAGAGTATGTTAGACATGTGGCAGTGGGTATTACGTTCAACCTCCTATTTACTCAGAGGTCATGAACACTAGTCATGAATAAGTAACATTCTATGAACATATTGTAGAAGATTTATTTTTAAGGAAGCTTGTAAAAAATATCTTCCATAAATACAGAATGCATATGTAGCTTGTCACAAGGTCTTAGCAGACCCCTTTTGTTTAAGATATACAGTGGTACCTCTACTTACAAACGCCCCTACTTATGAAATTTTCGAGATACGATCAGCTCCGGCCCCAAAAATTTACCTCTACTTATGAACTCGCCTCGACTTACGAGCCATTTTCCGCCCATTCCACGTGGTCCGCAGCCATTTTTCTGCCCGTTCCACGTGGTCCGTGGCCATTTTTCCGCCCGTTCCACGTGGTCCGCAGCCATTTTTCCGCCCATGCCACGTGGTCCGCAGCCATTTTCCGCCCGTTCCACGTGGTCCGCAGCCATTTTCCACCCGTTCCACGTGGTCCGCGGCCATTTTTCTGCCCGTTCCACGTGGTCCGTGGCCCTTTTTCCGCCCGTTCCACGTGGTCCGCAGCCATTTTCCACCCGTTCCACGTGGTCCGCGGCCATTTTTCTGCCCGTTCCACGTGGTCCGTGGCCCTTTTTCCGCCCGTTCCACGTGGTCCGCAGCCATTTTCCACCCGTTCCACGTGGTCCGCGGCCATTTTTCTGCCCGTTCCACGTGGTCCGTGGCCCTTTTTCCGCCCGTTCCACGTGGTCCGCGGCCGTTTTTCCGCCCCTGACACGTGGTCCGTGGACGCCGGAATGGATTAACAGTAATTACATTGAACCTTATGGGAAAATTTACTTCGACTTGCGACCAACTCGACTTGCGATCAGAGTCACGGAACGGATTAAGTTCGTAAGTAGAGGTACCACTGTACTAATTACTCCTTCACCCTTTTTTTACCCTGTCCAATTGTCAACTATTTTTATTTTTTATTACTTTATTTTCCTTTCTCTTTCAAATTCTCTTAGCTCCTGCCTTCTGTTTAAGGAAGTGTCCAGTTAACTATTTACTCACATTCTAAGAAAACAATTTCAGATACTGTACCTTTCAGATGCTATATTGGCTTAACCAGTGGCTTATATTTTCAGGCACAGCTTTGACTTAACAACTACAGTAAGAGGGGAGAGTCAAGAACTAAAAGACAGACTGAAGTGGGAATTCTTGCTATTAGAAAATGGCCTGCCGCAAAGCAACAGTGCTGATAGGGTTACACTGTTTTGCAGTAATTCCCTATGCACTGTAACAGAGCTGGCAGTTAATCACTTCTGCTAGCCAATATTGATAACGGCAGGCACATATGGGTGGGGTTTAAGTGCTGCATGTAGAATGATCCATAGAAACAGAAAGCAAAACTGGAAGTTAAGGCTTTGTTTGAGCTTTAAAAAGACATTTTACCAGTTTGCTGACTTTCGTATGTCAGAATTAGTATATTTCCTTATGTCCCCATTATCTGCTTTCAATGTCTAATATACACCAATTATTTTTAAAGTTACTTTGAATAATTGATGCCTTTCTTCCCCAACATTTTAATTAACTTCCTGAATGATCATGATCAGAGCACAGATCTGTTTGTGATTCATACTCTATTCTGGTCTTATAGAAGCCAGGAACATTTCTTTTTCACACATAGACTTCTGTTTAGAGATTGACTTAGGCATGCTAAATCAGCAATCTTCCAGAGTCAATTGGAATTGGGCAGTCACACATTTAAAATAATAACAAAAACAATAATAATAAATCACATAGGATTTGGAACCAACTCAGATTTAAAAAATGGCTTACCAGGTAACATCCAAAAACTATTAAACAAAATAATTTAGGAACTCCAATTAGCATGTGGCTATTTAGACACTAATTGGATTATAAATTAATCTACCTCTGATTTATTTGACTGATGTTGAAATGTTTGATGGGGGCTGAACATTTAGCTCAAATTAAACTATTTATTGGATCCTAACTTGTTTATAATGCCTGCCCTATGTGTATTATAACTTGTTTTGAATGAGTCAGACTTTCACTTCTAAAACAAAAATTGTCATAGTACTGTATTTAAACAAGATTGATTAATGCATGATTTTAAAAAGCATTAACACAGACAAATTGGCATTTCAGTGTGGGTGTATGTGTATGTGATGTGTATGTATGTGTATATATACACACATTTATGAATGTAGGTATGACATTTTATATGAATTTAATTAGAAAAAACTGGTATTTTGGTACTGTCATCATGACATTTAATATGGAACTGTTGTCATTCAGTAGAATGGCTTATCCTAGAGAACATATACTTCCTTCTCAAGCCAATGTGCAACAATGTATGAGGTAGAAAGGGAGATGTTTAGTTGCACAAGAGGAAACAAACTCTTAGAGCTGAAAGGGGCCATTTAAACCATTGAGTCTAAGCTGCTGTTCAGTGCAGGAATCCAAGTGAAACATGGCTGGCTAAAATCTGCTGGAAGACATAAAGTGAAAGGAGCTCCTACCCCTCTGGGTAGTTGGTTCACTTGTTAACTGCTCACTCTCATAATGTTGGAATTAGTTAATTGGAAGTTTTCCAGTTATGCCCTCAGAACACTCTCTCTACCATCTTTTACAGTGTAGTCCATTGGTCAACAAGCCTGAGGAACAAAAAGATGAATCACCGTCATCATGGAGGCTAAGCCTGCGGAAAACTAGCAGCCAGAATGCACTTAGTGAAGACAACATGTCTCGTGACACGCTCAAGGAGAAAGGCAGCTCCATCTATTACTCTTCTTCAACCCCTCGGATTTCTGCACTATTAGATAATCAAGAGAAGGTACAGAATAATTTGGCTTCCCTTATTTTGAAATCCATGCTTTGTAAACTAAAATAATGCTAAATAACTTAATTTCTGTTTTTGGGGTTGGTTTTTTTTGTTATAGTGTTTTATTTGTTAACTAGGAAAGTTTAGGATTTGGTTTTGCTATCATGCAGAGCTTGACCTTAATGGGATGTTATCTATCTTCTCTCTTTTCTCTCTTTCAAAACATATTTTTCTGCACTCTAAATTATGAACACGGATTATACTGATGCTGATCTTGACCATGGCTAATGCTATACAGAGTTTACTTCTAATTTTGGTTCCTCTATAGATTGACTCAGCTCTAATACCATTGGTCTTGGAGAAGGCAGTGATGTGCTCTGTTTGGAAAAGCCATTCCTGGATCCAGCTGCCCTAGATAACTGTTGTAGTTGGTAGTTGGGCTCCAACCAAAAGTTTTCTGGATGAGATAATCATCTGTTAAGGTCTGGCTATTGATCATTCTTGTGAATGACCTGTGGTGGAACTTGTGGGGAGATGAGGCACCTCTCCATATCCTCTTTCAATGTTATTGGGGGAGGAGATGTTGAGCCCTTAAGCATTCCATTGGGGGGTGGTCCAGGGTTCTGGCCTCTCCCCATATTATTTAACATGTTCATGAAGCTCCTGGTTTTGTCAATATGAGCACTATTTTGGTTTTTTGTTTAAACCACTGGACTTGGAACAGGGAGACCTGAGTTCTGCCATAGATACGGAAGCCAACTGGTGACTTTGGGCTAGTCACTTTCTCTCAGCCTTAGGAAGGAGGTGATGGCAAACCAATTCCAAAAATGTTGCCAAGAAAATGGCATGGACTGGTCCGTGTAATCTCCAGGAGTCATGACTTGAGGCACAAAATAATAAAATGTGATCAATATGCTGGAAATACCCAGCTTTACATCTTGACCTCAAGCGAAACAGAAGATGATATGAGAGAACAGTAAAACAGACTGAGACTGAATCTCAGCAAGATTGATTTACTTTTAGTACATAAGCCCACTGGCTCCGTGAAGGTTCATTTTATTGCTCTTGAGGGGTTGAACTCTCATAGAAAGAGTTGTGTAGTGGTATCTGTAGCCAAGATGGTGGTTGTGACACTGCAATTCATTCCTGCCCCTTTGTACATGTGTACAACTTCAATGAAAGTACAAAAGAGGTAGAGCTTGGATTGCAAGCCTGTAACCACCAGCTTGCCTGTTTTGACCCCTCTGCAAATGCTGCTGCTAGTACACAGCATATTTTGGTATATTTTCCTACACTCATGGTTCCTCCTGGAATAGTCGGTGGAAGTTGTGGCCAAGGGATTTTGGTCGGCTTTGGAGACTTCACCAGACCCATTCCTGTACTAGGAGTCACTGAAGACAATGACTCACATCTTTGTGAACTCTTAGTAAGACTACTTTAATTCACTAGAGATAGGGCTATCCTTAAAGATCTGGAAGCTGCAACTGGCCCAGAACATAGGTGCCTGCTTGCTGGCAAGCAGTACCTGGTCCAGCACAATAATACTTACTTTGTGAAAGTTGCACTGGTTGCCAGTAGGATTCTGGGCCCAATTCAAGGTATTGCTTGTCACCTACAAAGCATATTCATCTTGGGCCCTTGTTACCTTTGGAACTGTCTTCTCAGTATGGAACAGCTTGTCCCATGAGGTCAGCATAGCTTTAACTTTTATCTTTCAGAAAACAAGTAAAAACATTATTCTAGAGGCCTTTTGGGGAGTGAGTTTTAATGGAAGACAGCAGTAGGCTTTTAAAGATTTTAATGATTTTAATCTTTGTGAATTTTATGAATGTTTTTAATGTAATAGTTGTCAGCTGTCTAAAATTATTTGAGTAGGCAATATAGAAAAATGTAATTAATAAATCAGTAAATAAATAAAGTATGCTTTTGAAAATAACTTCACATCCTGAAATGTATGAGACAGAATTTGAAAGGGAATATGGTAGAACCAAAGAAATTAAGTGCACAATTCCAAAATACTTTGGGGAGTTATATGTTTATTTTTAAATAGAAAAAAATATAAAACATTAATCTCTTGTGTATTAAAAAAAATTAGTCATACACAAACAAATTAAGTGCACAATTCCAAAATACTTTGGGGAGTTATATGTTTATTTTTAAATAGAAAAAAATATAAAACATTAATCTCTTGTGTATTAAAAAAAATTAGTCATACACAAACATTCATGCCATGTTATGTACTGGACAATAAAAAAAGTAAAACATTTTTCTAAGGAAAGAATTGAGACAATATAGTAATGGATTTATACATGATTATCAGTTCAAATTTATTTGGTAAGCATTTAATTTGAAATAGTGTATTTCAAAATTGTATATGATTGCTCAGGAACTATTTGAGGTGATTATTTTTGGCAGAAAAAAATTGCTGTAATTTAGGAAATTGTTCTTATTTCAGCAGGACAAGGACAACAAAATCTATTTTGCTTCAATATCCCCTCGAAGGTTAAATAATACAAGTGACATTGAAGAAAAGGAAAACCGGTAAGACCTTTTTAATAACGGCCACAGATTTATAGAAGTAAATGTTTATGAACTGAATCTGTAGAACAGTTTCTCTCTCTTCCCCCTCTCTTTCCTTATTTCATCTACACATAGGTTAAACTTGGCAATAAATATAAACTCATTTTCAAGTCCTGGTAACTACATGAACAAATCTATATAATTTTCTTGGCAATGAGCTTTTTCAATTTCCTGGTCTAGCCTATAGGCCTGTTATTTTGTAGTGGTCTTCCACCCAAATACTAACCAGATCTGAGACTGCTTATCATTTGGATGTCAGCCAAAGTCATTCTATCATTAAGCTATAACTAAAATATTTTTCTGATATAGTAACATATGTTCCCATTATATGTTAGTTACGACTGCCTTTCTTATTTATTTACCATATTTTTAGCTGCCCATCTCACAAATATGACTTTGGGCAGTGTACAATAAAACAAAACAATTAAAACAAGTCTTAAATAACATTAAAAACAATTAAACATAAATATAAATAAAACTGCAGGAGAACGCGTCAAAATCTCACACATAATACAGCCATCTCACGAGCTCCCTGCTTCCAAAAGAACCCTGCTGAAAAAATACTTTTTAAGAGATTTTTGGAAGGTCAATAGGTTTGGGGATAATATCACCTCAGAGAGTGGGGGGATGATGTTCCAAAGGGTGGGTGCCATGGCAGAAAAGGCTTGCCTCCTGGGTCCCCTCAGATGGAACTCGTTAGTAGATGGGACCCAGAGCATGCCCCTCCTGATGGGACAGGTAGATGTAAGCAGGGAGAGGCAGTCCCTCAAATAACCCAGGTGCCATGCCATGTAGGGCTTTAAAGGTCAAAACCAGCACCTTGAATTGGACCCAGAAGCAAACTGGCAACCAGTGCAGCTCAGGGAGCAGAGGTGTAATATGTGCCATTCTAGGGGCACTCATAACTGCCTGCGCTGCTGCATTTTGCACCAGTTGAAGCTCCCATAAACTCTTCAAGGGCAGCCCCATGTAGACCATGTTATAGTAGTCCATTTGGGAGGTGACCAGGGCATGAGTAACTATGAGCAGAGCCTCTCAATCCAGGAATGGGTGCAACTGGCACACAACACAAAGTTCTGCAAAGGCTCTCCTAGACATGACTACCACCTGCTCTTCAAGTAGGAGTTGTGAGTCCAGAAGGACCCCCATATTGTGCATCTGGTCTGTTTGGGGCAGTGCCACCCCATTCAGTACCAAAGATGGTAAAGTCCCAGATCTGGAATGCCCTAGAATCCAAAGCCATTCAGTCTTGCCAGGGTTCAGTTGAAGTGTGTTGTTCCCCATCTAGACCTTCACAGGCTCCAGGCACCAGAATAGGATATCAACAGCATCGTTTAGTTATCCGGGGTGGAGATGTATTATTGAGTGTCTTCAACATACTGATGATACTTTACCCCATGGCAACAAACAGTCTCATCAACGGCTTCATGTAGATGTTAAACAGGAATAGAGAGAGTACCAAACCCTGCGGTACCCCACATAGTAGAGGCTGAGTGTGTGACTTTCACTCCAAATCAACACCAACTGATATTGGCCCTGTAGAAAGGAAGAGAACCAGCACAGTACAGTGCCGCCCACTCCCACTCCACTGTGGTTGATCAAAGGCTGCCGAGAGGTCAAGTAGAGCCAGGATGGTTGCACTACCTTCATCCCACTCTCCCCAGAGACCATCCAGAAGCACAATCAATGCTGTTTCCATCCCATGCCCAGGCCTCAATCTTGACTGAAAGGGGTCCAGATAATCTGCTTCATCCAAGGTCTGCTGAACCTGCTGTGCCTTTTCCTTCTCCACAACCTTCCCCAAAAAAGGGAATTTGGATACTGGATGAAAATTGTCCAGTATGGAGGGATCTAGTGATGGCTTCTTGAGGAGGGGGCAAAACGACACCTCCTTATGAGATGGAGGAACAACCCTCTCTCTCAAGGAAGAATTCACCACCACTAGAACCCAACCACAAGTCACCTCCTAGTCGGGCTTAGCTAGCCAGGAGGGGCATCGATCTAATGTGCAGGTGGCCAAGCTCAGTCATAATGACCCTGTCTACTTCCTGAGGCCCAGCAGGTTCAAACCATTCCCAGATAACAGGGCAAGACTGTGCCCCAGGCATCTCCAGTAGTCCTACATTTTAGAATGACATACTTCAGTTACTGCAGAATAGAAAAAAATAATCACAGAGAACAGGAATTGTTATGCTAGCTGATAGGCTTAATACATTGTGCTGCCATGTTCATACACATTTTATTCTTAACTTTTTAAAAAATTATGTACTAGAGTAGAGTATTAGATTAATAGAGTAATCTATTAAGCTATTATTCACTTTATAATGTTATCAGGGTATATTATCTGTCTCTGAAGCATTTAGAGGCAGTTCAGGATCATGAAGATAATTTCTGTACTTTTTTGAAAATTATATAAAATTCATTGTCCTGAAAATCTGGTTTTTATTTTCCAGCATTTCCCCCTCCCCCAACATTAGCTTGATCTTGGCAAACATGCATTTTGCTGGGATTTGGGTGAATAGATCAGAATGTGGAAACAGGTTACAGTTGAAATACTACTGTTGTAGACTACCTGCATGTTGCTCAACACTATAGGTACATTTGGATGACATAGCCGCTTCTAGCCAATTCTTCTTGTTTTGATTTTAACAGGCTGTTGCTATCCCTTATTTGTTTTTAGTTGATTGTACCAGTGAATGCAGCTCAGTAGCACTGTTGGACAGGACAATTCGTCACACCACATTCAGTTGACTTAGCAATTTAAAAACAAACCACAGGATGGTGATTTTTAGCTTGTATTGGTTAAGGAAAGAAGACTCTGGGTGTGTTTGTGGCTAACCCATACACAGCAGAATGTCGTCCTAACATAGTCATTGTGCCTTATCATAGACTACAGATTGTTAGAATTGAAGAATATAAAACATTTAACAGATTTCAACCCCCCCCCCTTCCCAATTTGCCATTTTAGAGAATCTGCTGTTAACTTGGTACGGAGTGGTCCTTACTCTCGCCAGCAGTGGAGGGAGGAACCAAAGGAAAATGAGGCCCCTACAACTGGTGCACCTTCCACCTATGTATCTACCTATATGAAAAGGTAAGGTGTATTTAAAACTTTTGCTCTTGGTAGAAAAGCATACAAGGTTGTATTATGTTTAAAACAGTTTAGGAGAAATTCTGAGTGCCATAAAACTAGGGAAGAGAAAAACCTAGAAGATAAATGATGTAGCAAATCAATAACTCTAGTTTCTCTTGTTTGTATAATTAAAAATTTATTTTTTTCTATATATTTTCTAGAAAAATATCAGTGTTCTCTTTTTTTCCTACATGGAAAACTTTATCCATATATAAAAAGTATCTTGTGAAATACAAGAAAGTATTTCTTTATCTAAAGTTGATAAAGATTGTGGAAATTACAATATATTTGAATCCATAGTGAAAATTTTGTTTCTTGTGTGATATCCAAATTAGGATAATATACCTTTGTCATTTGCTTTGAAATAATTAAAAAAAAACCTGGAAAGCAAATATGCAGACATTATTACATACAGAAAAAAGGTTATTTGAAAGAAGAATATGCAGATCATTAAAACCAGTAAGATCATATCGATCTTATGAGCAAGTAGTCCGACCAATATACATACATTGTGTAGCCATAAAGAATAACAATTCAAATCATCAATAGAAATAATAAATATAGTTCTATTTTTTAAAAATGTATTTCAGTGTTATTGAAGTCTGGGGACAAGCAATATTTGAGAGATCAGGGTTAGTTATCCAGGGTTTTTTGGATGCATTTAGAAAAGACATGGCCAGTTTTTTAGCCTAGGTAGGTTAAAAGTAGGCCTGAAAACCACAACATTTGGCATTTTTCTGCCAAATTTTGGCAGCAGTAGCTCCTGTGCTGGAAAGTGTGGCACAGATATCAGGAATGGCACATTAGATAATGTAACTCAGATTTGTATTAACCCCAGATTAAGTTCTGAAAAGAAAACTATATTGCTTTTAAAATAATCTGTATGCAAATTATCCTTACAATGAATTGTATTCAGTGATGTCAGCTCAAGAGTAGAATGACAGAATAGGTTCTTCCTCCCCCTCACAAGTTGTCTTCAAAGGGTTAGCGAGTGCTCAGGTAAGATTTGGAATAAATACAGGTGATAGAGGCATGAGAAGATCGTAGAAGACAGACCCATTGCTTGAATAGAAATACATTCTCATAATAATAGGTATAGTTTCCTACCTGCAATATAATTTGTTTACGTTTTAAAACACTTTAGTATTGTAAACATAGCTTTAAATGTTTTAATGATCTGTTTGTTTATCCCATTATTAGTTAGGCCTAGTCAGATACTCTTGTGAAAATAAATAGTTACTGCATGGTTTCTAATCTGATTCCATGATTCGTTGTAGCTTTTGTGCCTTTGGATTTTATGACCCAAAGAATCCTTAGTTTACCCAAATTATGAGGTACAAAGCTACAGGGTAAACCATGGGTTAATTCTTGAATATGCTAGGTAAGCAACATAGTAGGAATCCAAAGATATGTAGAGCTAGATCTGCAATCCAAGATGGCTGAGGCTTCAGTTGTTTCCATAATGGTATTTTATTATGCTAAACCAGTTCTCTAGTTTAAGTCGAATGTTCATCTTAAAACATTTGATGTTTGTTTGTTTGTTTATTGTTGCCTAATGGGTCAGCAAAAACTAGCAACTTCAATTTGAGAGTAGCCTATTTACAATCACAGCATGTTTGGTAATACACAGAATTTATCTGATCACAGATAACTTGCTAACTGTAATCCAAACTCTTGAGCTACTGACACTGTCTGCTTCATATTGTTTCCTGTGCATATAGCCTGTTTATTTAGGAAATGACTGGATTTGATTTATTCCACTGATAGCTTCATTCTGCATACAATAATGCCAGGACAGTGACCTACATCTGATGCTCATGTTGTCATGCACCTTTCAACCTTATCTTTTTTCTTTCTTCCATCCTGATTCTCTGAGTAATCTGTAAGGAATTTCTTACTGCTTTGATTCATGTCCTAATTTAATGGAATATGTTGATCATTAGATATTTTCTAATTCTATTATTCTTGCACATCCAATATGTATTTAATAGTTAACAAAACAATTCACCCATGTCTTTCCATAGCAAAAAACTCTCAAAAAATACAGCAAAACAAAATGAAACAAAAAACCCCTCAATAATAAATTTATTAATTGATTTAGTCACTTAAAATTTTTGTTCATATCTTATTTCAGAATCATTTCTCGAATGTAAAAACCTAAGCAATTTTCAAGTACTGAATGAACTTGTTGCATCTTACTGATCTTTTTGAGAACATTTTTATGCTTTTTTTTTTTTTTTGAGTTCATGGATTGGTACCAACCTGAATTATGGTTACTTTGACCACTATTTATGTGGAATAGATTTCTCTATAAGGATCCATTCCTATTCTGGAAATGTAGACATTCTTTTTAAGCAAAAGCATGGCAGCATCAGGATGTGAATGTTATATCAGTTTATTGATGATTGTATCTAGTATTTTTTTAACATTTTAAACTTCATTATATTATAAACCAAATAGTGTTAGACAGTTGTAACTGTTAGTGTATATCATCAGTAAATATGATTTTTTCATTTCTGAGTCTGGCCTCCTTGAATGTAGTAAAGTGGAGGTTTTTATAAATTATAAATTATAATAAATTAATAAATTATTAGGTTCAGTAACCTGTACACTAAAACCTAATGCAGATTGTGAGGTTTTATGGCCCATATATTTGGAAGTGGAATTGGAATTCATATTGGAATCCATATTTATATTCAGGCTAAATTGAAATTAGCAATAATTTTGTTTCCTATGTCTGCATATTTTCATATACACCTTGTCATTCTTCCTTAAGCTCTAATTTAGCCAACTTTAAAAAAAAACTTGGATATTTCTGACCTTTCCTTCTCAGTCTGGACTCTTTCCTTCTGTTCTTTTATCAAACAGAATAACTTGGTTTAGTACAGCAAGTGCCACTGAACCAAGCAAATTTTCATTTGCTTTTTCTTCTCTTATTACTTTATCTCTTCAGTCTTGATCCAATGTCTTGCTCATTTGACTTAACCTAGGGAATTATGATAAGCACACATGACCTTACTTGATCTTAACAAAAAGAACAATTCTTGCTTTCTAATCTCTGTTTTCATTTTGCTGAACATCTCTTCAGCAGTGACTAGGGTCCTGTGCTGGTCTTAAACAATATTATAGCTAAAGAATTTCTGAAGGAATTGATTTTTCTGCTGTCTTACAGTTCTTCATTTGGTAGAAGTAGTGAAATCAGCAGTCCCTACATTTCAGCCAATTGCAATGCATCTTCTACTACCTCATCCACTATTCTTGATTCATCTACCTCATTGGGCACAGAGTGGCAGCTTGCCCCTTGCCCCACATCTGCCAGGTCTAACACTACAGCATCAGTCTACCAGTCTACCAGGTAAGGGATCATACTATGCCAGTATACTAATGAAGAGGGTTCATAAAGGAACCCAGTATTATTGCTGTCAAAACACTGGTTTTCTGTGGTGTAATATCTCATTCTGAATGTTCTTCCCAATGGTTCTGCTGCAGTTAGTAAATTATTTAGGCAATAAAAAAGTATATATTTTATGATCTCCCTAACATACTGGTGATTAGAGTTCTGAATCATATATCTCATTAGTAAGGTTGTACTCTTGATTCAATTCCAGAAAGGTGGAATTGGAGCTCATAAGGGTGGGAAAGTAGCATCTGTCTGCAGCTCTTTAAAGCACCATGTCTTTTCCAGGGATTATGCAGCAGCTATGGATGGCAGCTGTGTGATCCTGGAAAAATAAGCAGCTGCTTTAAAGAGTTATAGACAAATGCTACATTGGTTCCCCAACACACCTTAAAGCACTTCTTTACAGCCAGGCTTCATTGTTCTCTTCTGACTGATTTGTATTAAGATTTTTCTTTATGGGCTCTCTAGTTGTTTACTCTACCTCCTATCATTTCTGCTCATCTGCTTTGTTAGCTGGACCTGATGGGAACTGGAGTGCAATGTTTGGGGAATTATGTTTTTTCACTCCTGTTCTAACACATTTTAATCATATTAATTGTCATTATTTATGCACTAAGAAGAAATCACTGTTATAAAAAAATGTTCAGATAATTGTTCTATTAGCAGTGTAATTCATTTTGTTTTTCTTCCTCCTCAGGTGTTTTCTGAGCTCATTTTATATTCTTATAATTTATTTTTCAGAGCCCCTTACCGGCAACAAAGTGACTCTAAAGTAGAGAAGAGCACAGAGGCTGTCTCTTCTAGCATTCCATTAAGTGTCATAACAAATATCACTGTACCTGGAAGTTCTAATGGTGTTACAAGTACTAATTCTAACTCATTGACTGGAACAGAGTCCTCTACTGGTGATGCCAGGGATCGAAGAAGGTTAGTGAGCTGAATTTACCCTCATGGCACAGACCCACTGATAGGAAAGACCATGTTGATCTTTCCATTTTCTTTTGCCTTGTTTTAACAATCATACTCATTTGCTTTGCTTTCTGTTAGAACATGAACATAAAATTTAGTATTCAAGTGGTAATTGAAGCCTTATTAGATATACTTTTGAACGTAAAACAATTACTCTCACTGAAATTCATATTCATATAATATTAATTGAGAGGGATGAATTCTTCACTATTTTATGAAGCATTTCTAGTACAATTGTCATTCAATATATATCTTTAGGTGAAGTAAATGGGTCCCAGCTTTTTTTTTGGTCTGATAAATTTTCCATGAGTATATGAATTATGAATATTCTGTACAGAAAGTTGAAAAAAATGTAAAAAGCTTTTACATTTTATCTATTCTTGTTAAAGTATGCCTTCATTTTTATTTGTATAACCGAGCCTTAGAATTTCTCTCAATACTTTTTAAATTCCATTTATATTTTATTACAAGTGTCTGCTCATATTTTTTACAGAATTATTCTTGTTCTCATCTTTGATTATAATTCAAGCAAACAAAACACAAAGTTATTCTGATCTAAGACTTCTGGAATATAGATTAGATCTCATACATTTTGTAATTAGCATTTCTTTAAAAGAAGGTGCTTCAAAACATAAATCTTCTGTTAACTAAGTTGGTATGTCATGGATATTTTTTTGTGGATCATAGCAGGAAATGAGAGTTACATCTGACTTTAGAATTGCAAATTGTTTCCTTTTATTGGTGATTAAGCTCTGTTGAAACTATGATACTTTCAAATGAGCTAAAAGCATATGATACTTCAGCAGTGAGCAATTTGTAGATTTAAAATGGGTTCTGAGAAAGACAGATCGCTTAGATTAAAAGTTTTTTTTTTCCAGTGGAAGCTTCAAATGAAAAACAACAGATATTTCCAGATATTACAATATGGGATTTCAGCATTTAATGGCAGCTGTCACAATAGCACATTAATCTAACTCAGTGTTCCCAAAGCTGCAGCTTTCTCTTAGCAACAACAACATAAACTCCCAGACTAATATTAGCTCATTAAGATGCCTCCTTAACAGGCTGCTTCAGCTTGTCTATTTGAAGTCACTGGATTAAAATGTAAATGCATTGCTAAGTTTATGGAGAAACGAGTAAGCACTCTGGAATGTCCTTCCTTTCAAAAGTGTGCAGTTCCAGTGACTTAGAGGCTCTAACTTCTTGATTCACTCTCATATCTTATGCCTGCTGAAAGATATCTGGAAAATGCAGTTCTTTAATCAGTTCCCTATCTGCAGGTTTATGTACAAGCTCCTCTTCAGTTCTGATTCATACTTTGCTGATAGCAGTTTTGATGTGATCCAGTCCTATGGTGTTCCAGTCCTTTGTGCATGAATATCAATCACTCAGCCAAAGTGGCTTCTCTGTACAGATTTTATTAGCTAAACTATGTAGGACAGTATCAAGGTGAAGTAGCTGCTGTGTAGCTCTATTAATAAATCAAAGGTGCCTGATGAAAACAGAGCTTGAGCTCCACCATGTTGATCCTAAGCATTTCATTCCAGATTAATATATTAATAGCAAATAAATCTTGATTGTTCCTGTTATAATACTTGCTAGGCTCTTGCTAGCTGACATAGATGAAAAGAGTCTTCTTTAGTCTTCAGTCTTCTTTAACAAGATTAATGGAAAGGGTAACAGATAAGGTTACCAAAATCTCAGTAATTGGATTACTTTCACTTTAGAACCCAATTTACCTTTCAGTTTGTTAAGGTAGAGACTTTTTCAGTCTTTTCGTAATAGCTTTCTTGTGAATTGGTGTGCTTTCTGCTCTCTTTCCAGATAATTGAGGAAGGTAGATAGACTTCTTTGAATTATTTCATCAAACTGACTACTTTCCTAAAGGCTTGGTAAACATTTAGCTACCTAGTAAAGAACACACCTTACTAAAAAAGACTGAAAGTTAGTATGGAATTATATTCAGGTAGCTGTGATGGGGTATGTTGCAGTATCTGATTGAAACATGCAGAATTACAGAGTTTCCAGTTTTTGTTCCTTTTTATTGAACTTACGAAACAGTTTCGGTATCAGCCAAGCACTTTCAATTTTCCAGTTTCAGAACTGCTAATGGGTTTGTATTTTTTGTGGGGGCAGTTTGCCCCCCTTTCTAACCAAGCATAGCGTAGCAAAATATTTTGTGCTTTGTCCTTCATTACATGATCCTAACATATTGTGCATGTAAGCACTCCTCTGTGTCATTAGATATTAGGACTACTTCTGTTTCCCATCTGTATTTAACGAAAGGGCTTACCAAATGACTGGGCAAAATACCCTCCTTCATGTTCTGTAGACTTGACAGATTATCTCACTTTGGCTAATGTTCTTCAGACAAGCACATCTTTGATTTTCTGTCTAACTTATGGCCTGTGGCCTTTGAGAAAAGTTTCCTATGGTGCTTTTTCTCTTCAATGTTTTCTTTTGAATTGTGCCTTCAAACGCTTAATTTAGTCTTTTCCAGGTTTCACCCCACATCCCATAAATCCTTATTAGTGTGAACTGCTCAGTTCATTTTGGGTTTACCAGTCACCCTTCCTTACTCTGGATAGAAATCAACAGAAGAACATTCCATTTTCAATAACCTCTCTGTCCAATCCATGTCAGCTATTACGACACCTTTACTGCTAGTTAAATCTCTCATTACTCAGCTTCTCCCCAGAAACCTCTCCAATCTTAATGTGCCATCTCAGGTGTTTTTAAGATTCCTTCCTTTTTGACAGCTGTCCCTTCTCCTATGAAAACTGTGATCTATGAGAAGCTAAGCTACCAGTGTGGCCAAAAGTATTGGTATCCTTCCACTTTTGGCATCCACCATTCTTTATCCCATAGTCCATAGAGCAGGCACTTTGCTTTTATTGTATGACTTAACATATTCTTGTAAATAGTAAGTACCAAATTATATTAAGTAATTATTATAGTACCAAATTATTATAAGTGCCAAAATTATGTCCATGGCATTTTCATTTGTTTTATTATTTACAAGAATATGTTAAGTCATACATCAAAAGCAAGGTGCCTGCTCAATGGACTGTGGAATAAAGAATGGTGGATGCCATTTACTTATGTCAGTTTCAACTTATTTTACAGCAAATTGGGATTGTTTGGGGGAAAGTGGAGAGGTACCAATACTTTTGGCTGTGTCTGTACCTTCTGTTCACAGCACAGTGTCAGCAAAGCAAAGTATCATTTGGTCTGTGTGTGTGTGTCTGAGTCTATGTGTGGCTAAAAATGAGATGAAAATTCATCAAATAGTGCCTTATTAAAACAGCATATACCTCTCAAGGCGAATGGGTTCAATCATTATATTTGTCAGAGTAAAGATATTGTTTGATAGTTGACATGCTGATATAATCTCATGTAATATTCATGAAATATTACATGAGGTTATAAAGAGTAAGGAACAGGATTTCTCTCATGGTAGGGTGGTTCTAAGCCTCTTCCTCCCCAAACTCCATATATAGGCATCATTTGTTTCTGGAAGGAGTAGCTTCAAGAGTCCCAGATTACTTTTACTCAGTTCCTCCTTAAGCTCTGGCTTGGCCGACTCCATACCTTTCTCCAAATGAGGAGTCAGAGGAAGAAGCAGACAAAATAAAGGGAAAAATCTTCAAGCACTGTCTTCCAGAGAGCTAGAACAAGTCAAGAGCCTGCTTTGCCTTCCTTTTGGAAAAACAAGCAGTCAGTGAATATTGCTTTAAGGTGCTGCCAGTTATTTGAAGTTGCAAGTCTCTGGGGAAGAAGGATAGCAAGCTAAGGAAAGGCCTCAGGTGACATTTTGGAGGAGAAAGAGACTTGGTTGGCTGAATTTGGCTTGAAGGTTTGGGTTTCCATTCTGTGAGTTATAGAATCAGATATTTTTAGTGTATAGATTTTTGGTGTACAGCAGTCAGTAACATTCACTTCATTTTAAGAAGGTTGCTAGAACTGTCTTTTTAAGATCTGGCTGATTCCTTAACTTGGTTATTAAATTAACTGAATTTGAAGATGTACAATAAATAGAACCATAAACTAACCAAACAGGCTATGTTTGCACAATTATGCTTAGGCATAGAAAAACTAGCCAGATTTAAAACTAATCAAATGTAGTACATTGTGTGCAAATGCAGTCACTGCATCTTTAACCTGGTTAAATATTTTGTGTGAATCTAGCCTGTTGGGAACTAAGGGTAATCTGCCCCTTCTTGCTGTGTTAGGAGAGGACAGCAAAGGACTCACATACTTAAAGAAGCAAGCAGTCATCCAACACCTGCTGCTGAAAGTGCTTATCAGTCATGCTTTGATTGTTAATTGTTTTGCGATAAGTTTGTCCTCTTATAAAGCGAGCTGCCAGTGCTGGTGCGATAATGTAGGATGGGAAGGAATTCTGTTTGCTATTTGATTTTCCATGTTCGGAAGAGAAAAGGTTACTGTTGCTTTATCAGACACCAAGCTGCGTTTTTATGTTGAAGAGGTCAGAGACTCGTGTGTTATTATTGAAATCCTGATTTCCTGTGCCGTGGTCCATGCAAGAGTTTCAGCTCTTGGGCAGTCTGTCAGAAGAAGTTCAAGGTGGGCATTCTTGGTGGCTCACAGTTATTTAGACTTAGTTTTAAAAAGTGAAGGTGGGGGGAAGGTAGGCAGATGAACATAGAGCGGCAAGTAACTTAAAAACACTTGTGGTCTTCATTGCAAAGGATGTGAAGAGAAATGTAAAAAACATGGGTATCTTAATAATATCCTAAAATTGCAGTTTACTCCCAGCAAAATGGCTAAAATATCAGGTAAATCTGCCTCTTATTGAGTGTCTGTATTCTCTATTATGCTGTTTTTAAAATTTTAATTAAATTGATTTTGCATGCTTGCTGAATTTGATCCAAGGTATTTGTTTAACTATCTTTAGCAATATTCTATTTAGGTCTTTTTGCTCACAAGATAATAGTTAATTGTTGTTTATCTTCCTTCCTGTTAATGAACTATGAGCAGACTTGTGAACTGAGTTAGTTTGGCTAAGGTTTTAACTCTTTTCCTTCAAGCAATCATTTTAGTAGTAAAAGTTAACATTTAAATGGTTATATGGATAACACATATAATAGTATATTTGAAGTCATGTGAAATATAAACTTACAAGTCTTTTGCAACTAAGGCAATCAGTGGCTAGTCTTTTTCTTTTTCTCTTGCATCGTATGCATCTTTCTAGATTTCTTCATCCCACAAGATGGCAGTAGATGACTTGCTGTCCCTCTTTTAATTTCAAATGGAATACTTTCTAGCTTTTAAAATTGTCTACTAATTTCTATTTAAAGAATCAGATTTCTGTGCCACGAATCAGCAAATATGCTGTCAACAACTGTTTCATATAATGAGAATGAGATACTTTCTTCCACTTCTAGTTTTTTGGGGCTTTGATTGCTGCTTCTTGGGTCATGTTGTCCTTCTGTTTACTTTGAAAATGTCTCATCATTTCAGATACATGCAGCTAAAATATTCTCCCTGACACTAAAGTATATTGCATTTTTCAAAATCATAACATAGATGACAATGCTAAACAGTATTAATTAAATCTGATTCACCCATTTGTTTGACTTCTGTCCTACTTTTCCTCTAGGAACTTGGGGACAAGGGTTTTCATTGCACTTTCTCCTCCAATTTTTCCCTACACCAATAACCCCGTGTGGGCCTTCTCCAGTATGAGAGTAATGGTATTAGACTAAAGTAGGGTTCAAGTCCTCACTCAGCCATAGAAGTTCACCAGTGATTTTCGGTCAATCTTTCAGCCAAGTTTACGTCACAAGGTTGTTTTTGTGGAAGAGAGAATGCTATGTAAATAGGTTTGACTTCCTTGGGAAAAGAAGCTTTTGAAGAAACATGGGATATACATTTATCAAATAAAGTTGAGTAAGGAAGGGCATGACAAAAGTAAATAAGTTTTTTCTTTCCCTTTCACAATATTAGAATCTGGAATCATTCATTGTTTCAGAAGATAAAACATTGGTGATTATAGATAGACAAAAAGAAATCCTACTTTACACAGCACATAGTGGAACTAGAATTTACTACAACTTAATGTAATCATGGGCACCAACATGGATAGTTTTAAAAGAGGATTGGACAAATGTAATGCAGCTACATTTCCTTCCCATATGTGTACAAATTGGAATAATTGTAGTAGAAATACTTTTATTAACTGTTGAAAAAGCAGAAACTCTTATTTGCAGAAGCTATTTTTCTATTTAAATGGTTCTTTTTTTATCATAATATTTTAGGTCATATCTGACACCTGTAAGAGATGAAGAGGCAGAATCTCTAAGAAAAGCACGATCCAGGCAAGCTCGCCAGACTCGTAGATCTACCCAGGTGAGAAATACTAACTTCTGAAGAAGTAGGTATTATGATCTCTAAATTATTTAATTTGTCTTGTATAGATTTTTTCTAATCCACTTCAGAATGAAAAAATTCTTATTTATCTTTGGTCATTAAAAGGTCCATTTTGAATAAATTTATATTACTTCTCAAATTTATATCTATTTTCAAAGAAGAATACTATTCAAGTTATAAATGATAATTAAATGAAATGAAAATGAAAAACTGTTTTTCAGTCAGAAGAAAAGTTGATTGCCATTACTTCATATTTAATATTTGGAAGTGCCCTATTTAATAGATCATTGAGTTAGCATACTTCGAAGTAGCGATTCCCAGCTTTGAGTTTACTTGATCAGACTGTCCCCTGATTAGAAATTCAACTTTTTCGAGCTTGGTCATTGTGGGAAGGATAATTTGTGATGGGACTTTTATTCAGTGTAAAGAGACACCTAGTTAACAAAGACTGCCTTATTTCCCAGGGTATAACACTTACAGATCTGCAGGAGGCAGAGAGAACCTTTAGCCGATCTCGAGCAGAGCGGTTTACTCAGGAACAGCCAAGTGAAAGGTCAGACAGGCTCAGAGCTAGTGAGGGAAGCAGTGGAAGACAAGAAGATACTGCCACAAGAGAATCCAGGGAAGTCAACTCACCATGGACTAAAAACTTGGATGAAGATGTGAGTGAAGCCATACTTGAAATCTTTTTTTTTTTTTCCCAAAATTATTTATGGCATTTGATGAGTAACAGATTTAAATTATTGTCTGGGGAAAAAGTATATATTTAATTTGTATCCCACCTTTTTGTTTGGTTATTAAAAGAAATAGCTTTTTACTTCTGTAATTTTTTTCTTTATTTTTGTACCATAGCTATGGAACTTTGTAAAAGAATATACAACTTAATCAGCAGATTATACCGGTATTCAGAATGAGTATGATCTGTCCAAATATAACTTGTTGGAACAAATCTGTGTTTGCAGTGCTGACATTTTATTTCAAGGGCAGGGCCAGATGTCATAACTTAATAAATGCCTTTTAAATGTCATTCAATGGCTTCTGCAGAGGATGTGAGCAATAGTAATTATAATTTAAGAAGAGCTCTGCCAGATCAGAGAAATGTCAGCCAGGTGCTTATGGGAAACCCACAAGTAGGGAATGGATATAATAGTACCCTCTTACTTGTATTATTATATCAAACCAGCCCTGATACTAGATCTGATATATAGCCATCAAGTCTATTAGTCTTTTCTTCCATGAATGCACCTTATCCCCTTTTAAGGTCAATCTAGGCCTACTGCTGCTTTTTGGGGTATAAAATCTTCTACCTATTGGTTTTATTTATATCATAAGTAATTTTATACATCTCTGCCTTGCCTCAACCTTCAGTTTTTCAGTTTAAGCCTTTACTCATAGGATGTGTTATTTTTATGTATGTATGTACTTTGAGATTGAGAAACCTGAACTGTAAAAAGTAGATACAAGTAACCTGCTGCCGTCTAGTTGCTTGGGGCTACTGTTCCACAGTTCCTTGCCATTGGCCATGCTTGCTTGGGTTTAGGGAAGCTGAAGTCCAAATTAGTTAGATAACCTATCCTTAGTATACAGTATTTATATCAAGCTATGCCATAATATCATAAACAAAATTATAATACTGTCATCTTTATTTTCAATCCTTATTAAATGGAAACTGAGAAATATGCCTTTTTCATAGCATCAGTATACTGCGTTAATGTACTCCACCGTACTTCCAGGATCCCATTCCTGATCAGCTGCCAGCAGTTAAGACCCACATCAGTGTATATTGATGATTGTTTGTCCCCAACATATCTTCAAGAAAAAGGTCTAGATATTTGAAAATCTGGGGAAATAATTGCTAATGTTTATTTTCCCAATACAGATAAAATAAAACTTTCCTTTATTTAAAATATATTCTGATCAGAGTCCTGGAGTAAATTTAGATTGGGTTTGTTGCATTATTTGTAATCTAAATCCATATGGAATCATCAATAGGACTGGGATGTATATGTGTGTTGATCATAACTATAAAAAGTAAAGTTTAAAGTGGATAGAAAGTGATCATTCTTGGTCCAAGAAGTTCTGATTTTTGTTTTTGCTCTCAATTTGTGATTAGGGTTAGAGTTATTTTATTAATCAAATTTCTAGGCCACCCAACTCCAATGACTCTGGGCAGCTTATCATATACAAACAATAACATGAAAAAATAGCACCCGCAAGATAATGTCACTGGGAGGGAACAACAACCAGTTCTCAGAGATAAAATCAGCAGAGATAAAAACAGACAAAAAGGCCTCCCAACCCCTAATCCAAGGCCTATTTTTAAATGCTCTTTGAAAGGCCAATAGGGTGGGGGTTATGCAAATTCCTGGGGGGGATGCTGTTCCAGAGGGCAGGTGCCATGACTGAGAAGGTCTTCTTCCTAGCTCCTGCCAGGTAACATTGCTTAATTGACCGGATCGAGAGAGAACTAACTGTCAGATCTTACAGGACAGTCAGACCATAGCAGACAAATAATGAGGCCCATGTCAGGCTTTAAAAGTTATAGCCCCACGTACAGCACATTACAATAATTCAATCATGAGGTGACCAAAACATGAGTGACCATATATATTCTTTCTTCACCTAATTATAGCTTACATAGCCTGTGCTATTATACTTGATCTTTATATACACAATAATAAGAATAGAATGAGTCCTATTTTGTGTATATATTCTATTATGCTAAAGGGATATAATACAGTTAATTTTAACCCTAGCATTTAGCTTTTGTTCATTACCTTCTTACCAATTTTTATTGAGGCCTATGTTTTATTTCCAGTCTGCTGGTCGTCGATTGAGATGCCTAACCCAAGACAAACCTACAACTGCTGTCTCTCCTTCATTAACTTCCAGTCTTTATTCAAGTTCTCATGTGCCCAAGACAAGTAGATTTGTATCTTCTGATTCATTGAGATCAGCAGATTACCAAAGCACATCAGCTGGCAACATGGAGAAAAATGGTATTTACTTATTACGTTGCTATATTTTACAACTATTTGAATCTGTGTCTATACTGAGAAGCAGCTTAAATATACCAGCCCACCACTACCATCACACACACACACGTAGTTTCATTTTTCTTTTTGCTTTCTTCTTTCCTTCAAGTGGTTTTATTACAATTATTTGGGGCTAATCTTGTACCTTTCTTTCTGGAAGAATAATAGTAATCTCTCTCTCACACACACACACACACTCTCTTTTTGAGTCTCCAGTGCAATATTGGAATCCATTATAGGTAAACCCAACTTACAACAGCAATTGGGACCAGAATATCTGTCGCTAAGCAATGCGGTTGTAAAGTGTGACATCACATGACTGGATCACTTAGCAGTGGCAAATCCCTGCAGTCCCCACTACCATTGTTAAGTGAGGATTATTGGTTGTTAAGCAAGCACCTCCTTGCAACTTCCTGCCAGCTTCCAACAACCAAAGTCAGTGGGAAAGCCAGCAGGAAGTTGCAAGTCCCAGGTGGTTTGCAAGCAGGCTGGCAGGCAGGTAAGTGGCTGCACGCGGGTGGGAGAGGGAGGGAGGGTATGGGCGGGGAGGCACAGTGGAAGTGCAGTGGAACTTGGGGTGGCTGCTGCTGGGTGGGGGTGGGGGCATGAGGGTGCACAAGTGGCAGGCTCAGGGAGGATGTGCGATGGTACGTGGGTGATCAGCAAGATGTAGTACAAGCGCAGAGGGACTGGGGGATGGTGCATGGGTGGGGGAAACTTACTCAAGCAACTTGCGACCTTCCCTGCTGGCTTCCCCATTGGCTTTGCTTGTGGAAGCTGGCGGGAAAGGTTGCAAATTGTGATCACGTGACCATGGGACACTGCAACCGTCGTAAGTGCAAGCTGATTACCAAGTGCCCAGATTGCGATCATGTGACTGCAGGGGTCCTGGGATGGCCAGGACTTCAAGGACCAGTTGTAACCATTGCTTGTTCAGTGCCACCGTAACTTTGGTCGCTGAACAAATCGTCGTTAACTGAGGGCTAGCTGTACTTGGAAGACCCACTGGTTTGGTCCTTTGGTGTTAAACGTTTAAATATGGATTGATATAGATTGGTAGATGATAAGGCTGAAAAAAAACCTCTACAACTGCCATCTGGCCTCATTTTAAAAATATTCCCATGGTTGAATAAACTATTTTTAGCTAACACTCTGTTTCTTTCAACAGAATATGAGGATCAGGACCTGGATGACAGAACTTCAAACAAGCAGTCAGTAAGAGAGAGAAGGCGACCAAAAGAAAGACGGAGAGGCACAGGAATCTCTTTCTTTACAAAGGATGTAGGTATTGTCGTTCATACATGAAAGCGACGAATGAAAGATTAAATCCTGATCTGTTGTGATGGATATATGTATACACATATATACATACACACACACCTACCCAACTATTAAGGAGAAAGGCAAAAGAAAGACATCCAGTGTATGAAAATGAAAATATAATTGTAGTGCTGTTTATAAGATGAAACTATCCAAAAGACATGAATAAAATTTATTGAAAAATAAAATTAAATGCAAACAGTTGCTTACTGTGTACAACCACAGTTAAAATAATAGCACAGTACAGTTAAAAAGAATAAATAATGCATTTCAGTAATACATATTTAAATAACTGATTCACAAGAGCCTCAATAGTATTTTGCTTCAAAAATAAGTTTGTCAAATGCTCAAATGTTCATTGCAATCATGTATTTGCACTGTTTCACCTATCATCTTAACTAGAAGATAGCTAAATCAGTAGTTCCTTAGCTGAACTACTGGGAGTAATGTTCAGATACTTTGCAATCTCCTGCACACCTTTGGAAAGTTACTAAAGCCCCAAGATGAGCCGTGAAAAAGTTTTGTCAAATTTCTCTTTGAAGCTGATGAACTATTTAACATGTTGTTGCACATCAGTAACCAACAAGTCTCAGAAATCACAATCATCCAACTCACAGTGTAGAGAAATGGAGACATGTTAGAATGAAACTTATAGCATGTTCTAACCTTTTCAAATGGGTAATGGAGCAAGAGGTTGCATACTGATAGTACGCTTCTACTAAATTATGATAAGAGATATAGGGATGTAGTATATCAAGTGACTCTTTTTAATATACTTCAGAGATTTTTTTTCTAAAAGCATTTTTCATTATGTTTTAAACACATTCTGCAGTCAACTGAATTTACTATTTAGCTGGAGATTCAGGTTCAAGTGTACGAATAATTTCAAGGCTTTAATTAATATTACCAGACTGTTTTTCATTTTCTAAATACTATAAAGATACTGAATACTATCTGCCTTAATATTTTTCAGTTAGCTTAATTGAACTTACTATTAATATAGAAAGAAAACTTTATTTCAAACATTTCTGGTTTGTCTGTTTATTTTGTAGGATGAAGAAATGGATGGTACTGAAGAAGTAATGGAGGACAGGGTAAGCAAAAGGATAGTATATATAATAATGGTGATAATCAGTATTTGTATTTATTTTTCACTAAACTATAGCATGCTAGCTTGGTATAAATAATTATGAAGCAGAGGCAATAGAGGAAGTTGCTGAGAACTTCAAAGCAATGCAGAGTCTTTTGAACAAGTCCCAAAAACAGATTGGTGGTTTTCAGGGCTGATGAAAACAAATACATCATGTTTGTATTTTTTGCTCAGCCACATATGGCTGAACTAATTTATTATATAATTGGAATAGCCAAGCCATAAAGCAGAATTATGCTTTTGTCAGAACTAGAAATGGCAAAATAACATGAGTAGAATTCAACAAGCATTTTTCTATATAAATTATTAAGAAACCTAATATATAGAAAATAAGGCAGTTTTTCATCTTTCAATCTTAAGTGATATTTAAACTAAGAAAAACTTCAGATAATTTTGCCTAGATCAATATGTGCTGGGCCCTATGAATGGTTTCTACAACATAGAGTAAAGTGAGAGACCTGTTTCCATCAGATTTCTTTACTTCCATAAATTAAAGTTTCATCCAAGTTGATTAACAATGTGGAACAGTTAGAAAGATTACTCTGAAAGTAGGCAAAACTTTCTGTTCTTTTTCTCAGTTGGTTAGTCAAATCTGACAGACTGCATGACAGTGTAATATCTTTATATGTAATGATTAATAAGCTAGCTAGAAGATCCTGCTTAAAAGATATATTATACTAGTGATCCATATAGGAGAAGGAAAAACTGCAAGCAGGTTACTGTTAACACATAAAACATTTGGGTGATGGGATAGTAAGTCACTCTTTTCTGTAGACCAGGGGGAAAAATCTAGTAGTATTAGATTGTTTTAAGACTATGCAATAACTTGAACTTTATATTCAGTTCTCTTTTATTTTCATATTAGACAAACTCTCAGAGAATTCAGAATACAGTTTAAACCAAATATCAGACTTTAAAGTTCATATTGATGATATAAGTATTTCAAATTCATACTGTAAATGCAGAAGAAAGCATACTGTCATGAAAAGTGTTAGTTTTCTGAATGTCATTTATTTGTAAGTTGCAATGTAGTTTTCATGGTCTTAATTATTTTTAATAATGCTTTATTCTATTCCAGAATTGTTTTCCATTAGTACAGTAACTGTCTGTAAAGAAAGTCATTTAGTCATGGCTAACACATCTAATTTTTAAAATACTGAGCCTAAGTCCAATAGCATTTGAGACTTTGAATTATTACTTAGTAGAATTATTAATATCTGGAGCACTAAAAATAAGGAAAATGTGCTTGATTCAGGAGCAATACTAGAAAAACATATTTGCAAGGAATGTACAGTAGATCAGTCAGAGTAGGCAGGCTTATTGCAATGAGCATGGGGTTAGGTTACACAATCTTGGGAATTGGCTATATTTACCTTGGTATTCATCTATCAGTGAGTATGTGAAAATGGGAACCTCCCTATGCCTTTATTTTTCTGAGTGAGTTTTGGTTTAATGAGGAAGACACTAATGTCCATCATAGTTGTTCTGCATCCTGAGGGAATGTCAGTGTGCTGCATATACTTCCTAGTTGGTGTGATGTAGGTAACAATGTGTTGACTTGCAAAGTTGTATCTAAATTAGAGATCCTAGCTTGCATAGAATATCATGATTATGTGTAGGGTAAAACCAGACTTTGGTTGTACTTTTGGCATGCTGGCCAAAATGTGCCAAAACTATATGTCCTTAACTTTTAACAGAAAATGTTGCATGTGGCAGGAGTACGAGTGGAGCTGAAGTTTAGTTACTGAATGAAGAGGAGTATTGACCAAAATAAAACATGCCCAAGAATAAATGGAATGGTCAGAGTGGTTCAGAACAGAAAATGAGTGTATGAAGTGGTATGTAGACACTGTAGAAGCAAGGTGGTTAGCAAGGATGGAAAGGTATAGAGAAGTAGAATAATTGTTGTTGGTATAAACTAGTTTTAGCTATGTATTGTTATATTTTTCTTATCTGATGCTTTTAATTTATTTGGCTTACTATTTCTTATTTCTTTTCTGCACTCTGCACATACATCACTTATGCCAAAAGGGAATTGCATGAATGGTATGTAATGTTGTGAAGAAAATTACATGGATGATCCATGAAGTCACCAGCAGCTGAGTTTGACTGGGAGGAAACTGTATCTTTTATGCAAGTGTATATGATATTGTTTTCTTGTTAATTTCACATTTCCTGGGGGAAAGAATTAAACTTCTGTTCTTTTTTCATTGAAGAGCTCTGCTGAAATTCTTCTAACTCTCCATTACAGGGCTGTTTCTGCTGATCTGTTGTGATATCTGTTACTCATTTCTTTGCTTTACTATCAGAAACTTCATTGCTCTCCAAGAGCAATGACTTTATTAGGCTTATGTTCTCCTTTCTGTTTTCTGGGATATTGACTACCTAATATGGTGAGGTATGCCCCTGTCAGAAGCTGTTGCATGTTGCTCTCAGGCCATGAAGTTTACTTAGTAGTTGCATTTAGATGAATTTCTGGTAGCTGATTTGGAAGAAGGGCTATTTAAACAGTAATGTGTTATGGTTTAAACGGTTTAAATGAATAAGTGGCTTCTGATGCACAATTTTCTTTCTTTCTTTCTTTCTTTCTTTCTTTCTTTCTTTCTTTCTTTCTTTCTTTCTTTCTTTCGAACTGCATGTTCTACTTTATGCTTTTTTTCTAGCACAATGCAGCATGATACTGGGAAAACTTTCACATCCACAGAAAATATAGTGAAGACAATTTTAGGTAGCTAAGATAAAACAATTATTGAATTATGAATGAACATGGGGACAATCAGAATTTCATAATCAGAAATTATCTGGGGTACTAAAAAGCTATTGAAAATATATTGGCAAATCTTTTTCCTGTAGTATACACTATAGGCAGGATATCAGACTACATCTCTTAGTAAATCCATTTCTTTTCCATCTTTTGAAAGGAATAAAGTCATCATGAGCATAACATTCATTGAAATTATTGATTTATAACAGGGGTTCTCAGACTTTGGGTCAGGATCCCCAGGAGCTAGGGGGAAGTTGCAAGCAACTTAGAGGAAAGCACACACATTTTTTAAAAACCTGATCAAGCTAGCAGAAACAAGTGGAAGTGCTGTCAAAACCTACTCTGGACTTTGCTCCCTGCTTTGCCAGTGCAACCAAACTGCAGGCTTGCCCAGAAAAATCCGGAGCAAGTTTTGACAGGGTTCCTGAAATCTTCTCTTTGAGTTTTGTTCCTTGTTTTGCTATGTGAGCCTACAACGAGCATTTCTAGTACTGCAAAGTTTGAGAACCCATGTGATATAGAGGTAAAAAATTAAATATTAGAAGTAAGTAGTATATTTATTTCCTACCCAACACTAACTCCAGTGAAATCATTAGTTTTATGGGGGTGGGGGGGAGGTATGGGATTGCAGTCCTGCAAAGTTTGAGAAGTCTGGATTTATAGCACACATCAGAGCTATATAAGAGTAATTTTATTGCATGATCATTCAAGATGTTGGTGACATTCTTATTTATATATTTATTGTTAAAGTATTATGTCAGTTTATATTTAATTTCAAAAGACAATTATAAAGAAAATGACACTTGGCTAATTGTGCTTTAAGTTTCTATAACTTCAAGAGGTATAATACAATAGTAAAGCATTGCTCATGCAAAATAAGATTCTGTTAGTCTTCTTTACTATCTATGGTTATATTTTTATATAACCAAATCTTTGTTCATGATGGTTATATAGGAACTAAAGCCCAAATGAATGGGAAGACGGGAAACAGTAATAATATCAAAAGATAATTCCTGAAAGTCATTTTATCATCCTCTCCCCCAAATGACCGAGCTAATATTTTAGTCAAGTTTAATCTCCTCTGTATTTGTTCTGGAGAAGTACTGAGTGCTTCAGAACATTTAGTAGTCTGCAGCTCTGTGGTAGGCTGGCTTGTCTGCTGTAAATGAGGGGTATCAGACTATCTTGAGGAACTGAACAGCAGTTGTGTCTGAGAAAGATATTTGTTTATTTGGAGATATTAATATTAGAAGACATACAGTGGTGCTTAAAAGTTTGTGAACACTTTTGAATGTTCAAAAGAAAACTGAAAAATGCTTGACTCAAACTTTGGGTGATATTGTTTTGCCCAATCCAAATGTAGCTTTTGATAAGGAATGGGCTACAAAACACTAGAATGCAATAGTTGTCCTCTTTAACTGTTTTTACCAGTTACTGACTTAGACCATCTGCTTTTTCCTTTTTAGCAAGGTTTTATATCATTTTTTTCAAATAATTTACAGATCTCCACAAATAATGACAGTTGGCTCTGTAGGCTTCAACTAGTTTAATCTTGGCATTGACGCACTTTCAATTGAACTAAGGCTTAGATTTGAACTTATTTCTGGCATTCTTAATTGGGGCTTTCCCACTAGTGTCACCTGGATGCTGTTAATTATTAGTATTATAATATTTCACTGCTGTTCTTCTCCATAGAAATACATTGCCACAGCTGAGAAGCTATAGGTGAGCTAAAGAACAAGAAGGCTGCTCTCTATATTTTCCTGGACCATCTAGTTTGGTTAATCCCTTTCCGTAGTAGTTTCAACTGGACAGATTTGCTCCAGATGACAATCCAGGGTGTTGGAAGCTAATCTAATGAGAGGAAAGTGATGACTGGGTGTTGATTTTGAAAAGGATGATTATGTTAGTTAAATTTGGAAAAACTAAAATGAGGTCAATAGTACTGCACCATGTCTGACTTAGTATGTTTTTCACAGTTCCCTTCTGTCATCCTTTTCAAACTAACAAATTTTATTACAAAACATAAGCAGTCAGGAGCTAAGCTCACTTCATCAGATATATTATGTAGCTCACAACAACTTATGCCTTTTAATAAAATTTGTTAGCCTGAAAAGTTGCTATCCTAGACTAATACAGCTCTCCTCCTACAATGTATTCTATCAGACTATTTAACATGA